AATAAAAAGCACTTACCTGCAAGACTTCCTGACATAGCAGCATCCAGGGTTGACACCTGAAACAGCCTTAGAGCTTCATCAACATGAGCTTCAGTAGCAAACGGCTCTAAGCTCATCTTGGCTAGAGATTCAGATATGCGGATTATAGCCTCCAACTGCCTGTTGACACAATATACCCATCACGTTATATATAAGGTGGTCCAAAAAATGAATAGTACAATGTGATTGGTCCGTGGGTCTGAGGTTATAAGTGGACTGCTATCACCTGATAAAAACACGCTGTTCAAACACTGACCACCATGTGTTGTGATATGCAAATTGCATCCTCATAATAAAATAAAAATAATAAAAATAATAAATGGGATTTAACAGTGGCATTAGAGGAGAGCGCTCTCACCGCAACGCCACCTGTGCTTCCCTGTAATAATTGCTGGTTTGCAAACCTTCAAATCTGGTCAAACATTGAACAACATGTGCTGTCAACCAGAAAGAATCCTATTGAAAATTTGCGATTCAGCTGATGAATATTCCACACAAGACAGGAAATGACGTCAAGCAACACCCAGCAATAATATTTTATTAAAATTTACGACATCTTACCTGACAGTGATTGGTATATTAATCTTTTTCTCWGTATCTCTCTCGTGCTCTCTTGCTCCACTTCTCATCAGCACATAACGRTTTTTTAACTTATCTGCTGCAGCCTCGGAAAGACGTGGTCCACATTTCCTATTGAACGAGTTTAATTCTTGGTAAATAACTTTACTTAGCAAGGGTGGATCCAGCCAAAAATTGGGGGAGGGGCTAATTGAGTTTCTTCCGTCAACAAAACAGAAAACAATAAAAAAAACATATAATTCTTCCGTTTTTGTTTTGTTTTTTTCTGCTGAAGGGGGGTTCAGCCTCCCTTTGCCCCCCCCCCCCCCCCCCCCCCCCCCCCCCCCCCCGGTAATGATCTTGAAAACCCAAAAACTGCTGTGAATTAACATAATGAAGCATCGTTTTTTTCTGCTGAAGGGGGCCCCTTTCCCCCCCCCCCCCCCCCCTGGATCCACCCTTGCTTAGAAAATCTAGAAACTTGAGTGGATACAGCGGCATTTAGATCAAGACATTTTGATACTATGCATCATGGGATATATCGGGTAAACAGTTACAACACATTTTGTGCGACTCAATTTACTCAGGAAAAGACTCTAAAATTAATAAAGTAAGAGACGTGTTGCTAATAAACTTAAAAGAAAAACTGCAAGGGATTCTGGTAGTGGTGGTATATGACACTATTGCTTTTAATAATATGCTTACAGTCGGCAGTATGTGATGTACTTCTTCAAGAAGTTCAAGCTCAGTTCTCCCTCTTGTGCTTGTGTTGTCTGAGCTGCATTCAAGTGTACTTGCATAACATGCTTGGCAAGATGCTGTAGAATGAAAAAAGATCATTGTGAGTGAAACTCTGAGATAAATTATTATAAATAAGTATTGAAAACCAGGGGCGTAGACAGAGGGGCCAAAGGGGCAAGGCCACTGATTTGGGGCAAAAAAATAGGTGGCTTTTAAGAATTAATGTTGTAATTTTTTGTACAAAATAAAATGTGTAATTTGCTTCCTCCCACAGCTTTGTAATCCAAATATAATCCTTCATAACAAAAATAGCTTTGATCATTACCATATCTTTGGCTTGGTTGTGCTCATCTTTAACGATGAAAATTGTGTCAAAACGGGATAGAATTGTTGGCATGAAGTCAATATTCTGAAAGCATCAAAAATATTCTGTTAATCTGAGAAATGTCATTTAAAAATAGAGGACAAAAGTTCTCAATACCTCATCTCCTTTTGTGTCATCCCACCTCCCAAATACTGAGTTTGCAGCTGCAAGTACTGCACATCTTGAGTTAAGGGTGGTAGTTATGCCAGCCTGTGAAGAAATGGCAATTAATTTGATGTATTATTCTTTCCATTGCCACAAGTTTTTTTTCCTGCTCCTCTAGTATAGTGAGAGTAGTGGTAGTGCATGTGGAGTAAACCAAACAGAAGATGCCATTACTGGGAGTCATGGTTGTAAAATGTATATATGGTGTATGCGGTGGAGAAAACGTTCATCTGATTTAAACTATGACATTTAATCATTTACTTACTTTAGCAATTGAAATAGTTTGTTGTTCCATGGCTTCATGGATTGCCACACGATCATCTTCCCTCATCTTCAAGAAATAAAATAATATTATTAATTTCACAGATTTTATTGATACAAGTTTAGTGTTATACTGTTGAAGAAAGGGCTTTATTGTCGGAGATATTCACAGAAATAGTAAAATAAAATAATGCTGGTAYTCATGCACTTGAATCTCAGCCCCTCCCAGGGTCTTTAGGGAACAAAGGAACAGGAACATTTATTTTCATGGAACAGGGGGATATTGTCAAACTTTTTAGGGAACAAGGGAACAAATTTGTGAAAAATYATATTTTTAAGGAACAAATTGACAAAATTTGTATTTTGACTTGTAGGGAACTACAGGGAACAAACTGAAAATTATTGGGGAACAAGGGAACTTTGACCCCTCTGGGAGGGTCTCAAATCTACCTCATTAAAACAAGTACATTACCTTGTCAAAYTCATCAATGCAAACAACTCCCCCATCGGCCAAAACCATGGCTCCGCCCTCCATCACAAAGTTCCTTGAGACRGGATCTTTCATTACTGATGCAGTTAGACCAGCAGCACTGCTGCCTTTACCAGATGTRTAAACACCAATTGGAGAAACTTTTTCAACAAATTTTAAGAGCTGACTCTTTGCTGTTCCAGGGTCACCGAGGAGCAATACATTGATATCCCCTCTCCTAGTCAAGCCATCAGGAAGCCTGTAAATCAAAGTGTCATTTGTAACATTAGATTTTTAAAGTATTAGTGTATGTATAGCTCATGTTAGATTGGATATTCTGAGGTTTTGGAAAAAAACTGGATAGGGTTGGAATTGCAGTGCATTGTGGGAATGTTTAAGAGGCCATATTTCAAAGATAGCATCTACATCATCCCTTTAAACAGTCCAACAATAGGCCCATTGCAGTTAASGGTCAAATGTCCGTACTGGTAAGCAATTTTTTAAAATTTATTCTAAATTGGTGATTCTTTTTAGCTACTTGTAAAGAACTAAATGAAACAATGTGTAACCAGTGTGTTACGAAATGAAGTTTTATGAAGTGTTTGCTCGCCAGTATATTTCACCMATGGGAATCAAAATGTTCATTCATTTGCTCTCAGTGAATTAATCRGCACGTGATTRCTKAGMTGCAAAGGGCCTATTCACTGCAATGCTAACTTAATACAGTTTCTTCCTCGTCTTCTAAATGGTTAATGAAGAAGTTACTAGACCATACTCCCTGGAGACCTCCTTTGTGGGGGAGGTATGGATATTTTCTGGTGCTACACGATATACCCTCCTTAGAATCCCCTACCCGAAACCCTTGGAAATTCCAATCTCCCTTCATGAGGTAATTATGGATATTTTCTGGAACTACAAATTCTCTCAACTACTAATGTTGTTAGCTTAATTCATCACACCTTTTCCTGGACCCTCCAAAGAGCAGACAAGCAATACACTTTTTGATGTCTTCAGAGCCATAAATGGAAGGTGCAATACTCTTCGCAATGACATCRAACACATCAAGTCTCTTCGCAAGTCTTCTGAACTCTTCCTCCTCTTCTGATGTCACTGAAGCACCACCTGTGCTACGTCCTGAACCATCTGTGTCTACCGTGATACCGACGACCCTGAGGTAGGGTTTCCTTATGCCGACACCTACACTGTCATTGGACTGTAACAAATATCATTTAATATTGCAATCAGGTTCCAGTATTTGATAATTGTTGGACAAGGCTAAGCATAATATCCTAASTTATCAAGACTGAGGTTGTGTTAACTACCAAAGCCGTAGGATAAAAATACCTCACTWACATACTTACCTTACTAGATTTTTGCATCACTTTTTTGATGGAGTATATCCCAATTACTGTCACTCTGTTGCCTGGGACTACCTTTTCTGTGAAGTATCTGTGGTTAAATAAAATAATTGTGGGCTTAACCCTCTCCTTGGACATCAAATTACATGTGTCTTACTCAAACAAAGATTGCTAGGTAATGGGAAAACATTGTAYGCTAATAAAAATTGCCTATAGACCCCTTGCAGCATGTCGAAATGCAGATAAATTTGGAGGACCTAACAATAGGTTTTCAATCTTCAAGAGATTAAATTCTTTTGTTCTTTRCTTCRARTTGAGCTGCTTTGACGTCACATGAAAGGGGTCTATATCTTTAGGGTGTTTTTTTKKGGGGGGAGGGGGTAAGCAGGYACTTGGTCTTCGTCCCAAAGATACCAACCTGTCACAGTACAACTGCATGTGCCTTGGCATTTCACCATTSGGTACGGCRTCAGGAGACTCCTGGAGTTTTAATACCTGGAAGTCGACACATTTGCACTTGTCCGGCATAATGTAGAATGGATCCAATGGGCAGGGCAACCTTCCTGTCTGATCGCTAAAAAAATAATCCAAAAAATTAAACCAATGACAACTATGTTTCCTGTTTGTTTACATGTGAGTAGAGTTTGTAATGTTCTCTGTTTGTAATTCCAATATAATCTGAGTTACCCATGCCCTGACTTAGATCAGCTCAGAAGTTGTTCCAGGGTTCTATCTGTGAGTTAGCCGTGCCCTGACATAGATCAGCCCAGAGGTTGTTTCAGGGTTCAATCTGTGAATTAGCCATGCCCTGACTTAGATCAGCTCAAAGGTTGTTTCAGGGTTCAATCTATGAGTTATCCATGCCCTGACTTAGATCAGCCCAGAGATTGTTTCATGGTTCAATCTGTGAGTTATCCATGYCCTGACTTAGATCAGCCCAGAGGTTGTTTCAGGGTTCTATCTGTGAGTTAGCCATGCCCTGACTTAGATCAGCCCAKRGATTGTTTCAGGGTTTAATCTATGAGTTATCCATGCCCTGACTTAGATCAGCCCAGAGGTTGTTTCATGGTTCAATCTGTGAGTTAACCATGCCCTGACTTAGATCAGCTCAAAGGTTGTTTCAGGGTTTGATCTGTGAGATAGCCATGCCCTGATTTAGATCAGCCCAGAAGTTGTTCCAAGGTTTGATCTGTGAGTTAGCCATGCCCTGACTGAGATCAGCMCAGAGGTCCTCTTAGGGTTTGACCTGTGATGCAAAAATTAAAGGATTGCTCTACATCCTTCTAACACTTTTCATGTTCTACCGGCCCCAACATGGTTTATGACTGCGCACAGCCCATTCCTGAATTTTTAATATTTTYGACAAACTAACCTTGGGCATCTCCGAGGCATAGCATATCCTTCAAGTCCTGGTTTAAGTGGAATATTGGAAATAGTATTCTTACAGGATCTGCATTGAATAGAAATACTAGTTGCCTTTGCACGAATCGCAGATGCACTGATGATTATGCCAGGGATTTTGACCAACTTTGCCATGTGCTCAGACTAAAGAGATAAATAAATTTGAGTAAGAAATTYTTGTTGGGGTCCGTAATCACCTCTTGCTCTCAGAGAGATGTTGAATTGCTCAATACTGGGTGTCCCTAGTTACTATACACAAATGTTTTTYGGCATACATGCAATCAACAGGGAGTAAATTCTTTTCTGAGGTCTGTATTTTAGTTTTAGAGTCATTTGAGGACAAAAAATCCCCTGCAAATAATAATAAAAAGAAACTTACCCTTAAGTCTCTGACTTGAAGAGGGTTTGACCCAGATCTTAACATGATCTGAATATCTTGGATTTCTTCTTCGCCATCAGGACGAGGGTGTGTCACTTCATCTGCGACCTCCTTTGCTGCCTCCTCAAACTGCATCATAAGATTGAGTTATCTCTGATTGCAGAGTGCAGTTTGCATGATAAATACATATGCAAGATGCAAGCAAAACTATAACTTGCGTAAATTTGAAAACGAAAATGCAAGGGTAAGAAATGTTTTTTATTTAAAAAATTTCCAATGCACATACTAAGTTTGCTTCCATTTTCATGTTGYGCATGCACACTGCTTGCATTTGCACTGCTTGTAAGAATCAAGCTATATAAAGGACGRTTTAGATGGTACGATTTTCACCTACAACTATCGTATACAACACGCTCACTCCATCAACAACTCGAGTCATAGCGTGTAAATCAAGCCTACAACACCTACGACAGACGCGAGCGTGTTGTATACCATAGTTGTAGGCAAAAATTGTACYGTCTAATCCAGCCTAAGAATAGTTTTCTTATGAGTGGGAATCACAGGATGCTGATTTATAGCATGTACATGGTACATGCTGAAACATTGAAATGGCTCCTTATTTTCTTACACTAATGCATCCAWTCACAAAGCATAGTTATGGTTACAGTATGACAATGATTGTGATGTATCATTCCCACTCAACAAAAACTACTCTAATGGTTTTAGCAGAATGCACTAAATGCAGTGCACTGTTGGGCTGCCATTTTTGCTTGCTGATAATAAAAAGTTATAGAAAACCTTAATCAAAGTGCGAACTCTAAAATTTCTTTCATTTCTTGATGTATAAAATGTCAAATGACTGACATAGCATCTCCAGATAGGCCAAATTTGCTGACTTAARGTAAAATCAATTTTACATACCAGAGGAAGAAATTCTGCAGGATTYTTATTCAGTCTATCTGCAAGTGTTTCATCATAGCTACTGAGGTCCTCAAGATCAACCTCTAGACAATACTTTCCAAGGTTGTAATGCTGTTTGAGCTGGTCGCTGGTAACAAATAAAGACATTACTATCAATGGCAGCAATTGATTGTACATTCATGGGATACCTGTGGATGGCAGCCATGTTTGTCCTTCATATAATTTTGTGGAATTCGCATGACAAATTACTCCTGATTTGAGAAAAAACTAACTCCCCAGCAGTTCATTTCATAAGAATAAGGTTTATCGTTCTCAATTACTCATTCAAACGCTATCAACACTGTGGACAAATGCACATGGCTCACGATTGGAAACTCGACTCACTTTCCTCTCGTTTKGTTCTCTTTAAACGTAATTTACGCCAAAAAACCTTAATCGACATTGACTAGAAGTCAAATCTTAAGTATGAGCTTTAAATCTTTAACTTATATCAACCCAAAAAGCGCCAAACTTCAGGCTTATTTTGAAGATATGGCAGCTAAACCTACCGATACTTGTAAGCGAAAGTTCCCTCGTGGAATTCTCTCAAGAACTCCTTGAATTTCTTTCTCGCGGAGATTCTGTTCACGTCTCTCTCATCTTGCTGGTCTTCTGACCCAAAAGGATCACTAACGAATATTTCTCCTTGGTCAAAACCTGACATTTTTCGAGGATAATTGTGGATCCACAAAGTGAGACCTTCTTGTCCTTTTACTTCTTCCCGCGAAGAATGAAATTTGGCGCGAAAATTTCTACTTTGATTGATTTGATTGGCTAAGCACCAACACGTGAAATAGTCACATGTGATCATCTTTTTCAGGGGGGAGGGTAGGAACTTTAATAACATTTTATTCGAAAAACACAGTTATTTCAAAATATTGATTTTTTTGTTAAGACAAAAACTTAAGAAATACCGTAATAAAAATTGTCTTGGATTAAAATGATATAAATCGGTAGACCCGTTATTAAGGTTAATTTTTTWAATTAGAATGTCTTTCTGTCCTCCCCCCCCACAGGAATAGTTTTGCCACGCTTCGAGAAGATCCTTGTACAAGCTTTAGAAAGAAGCTCATTGTCAGGTGTTTTGTTCAGTTATTAAAATGGCTAGTGTGGATGCTAAACGGCTCAAGCTGGACATGGAAGAGAGAAGCACTCTTCTGCCAAGTCTTCGTAATGCAGGATGGTCAGAAGTCGAAGGAAGAGACGCCATTTACAAAGAATTCTTATTCAAGGATTTCAACGAGGCGTTTGGCTTCATGGCGCGAGTGGCGCTCAAAGCAGAAAAGATGGATCACCATCCCGAATGGTTTAACGTCTATAACAAGGTTCAAGTCACGCTAAGCACACACGAATGCAGTGGATTGTCTCCTAGAGATATTAAACTTGCTACTTTTATGGAAGAAGTCGTCAAGTCTCAGAAAGATTGAAGCTTGCATATTAAAGACACAGACTGGCCCTCTTTTAACCCTGGGCATAAAAGAACCTTTACTAAAAAAGAGASGTTAGTTTATCTAGCTGTTCGAGGTCGTGCATTCCTAGGTAAATCTCAAGTTTTCTAAAGTAAACGTCAAGAAAGATAGACAAAAMGAAAACCTTTTTTAAGTTTAAATATGGTGAATGGAAAAGTTAAAAGTTATCAAAAAATTTAAATTAAAGTAGCAATAAAAATTGATCTTTAAATCAGTCCATGTTTTTACTGCTTCTCACTTACCTATGATCGTTTCTGATAAATTATGAGCGACATTTTTTCGATTTTTCCGTTGAATGACCAAGGCCTCATTGAGGTGATGGGCTTCCTGTGGGCAGAGGAACACAGGCAACCCAGCAAAACTTTTTATGTACCAAGTAAAGCCGAGGGACGAACCAAATAGATGCGGTTTTTACGTTTTTCCCAGTTTTCTTCATCGAAGTATTAGCAAGCATATATTTGTGTTGTTTTGAAATAATTTCTATGACTTTATTCGAGTGWTTTACAATTATTTTTGGTTATTTCCTCGAGTTATTTATTCACAATTCACAATTTAAAAAATATCCTATTAATCCTACATTTTTCATAAGAGATAATTTCCGATTTTCGTATTTTGAACTTAGTTTAAATATAAAAATAATATAGTCTATTGTATTCATAGTATAATATTCCATCATCGGTCATTTAGTTTACGATCACCAAYATGGCGGCGATGACGTCAYATGGAGGCAAAGGTCAGCGGTTGGTTGCCCAGCAACTTCAATAATTAACCAATCATCAGTGTTCTCCAATCATTAAAACTTAACTTTGCACTCAGTGGGGTTTCCCCTGCTTGAGAATTTTCCCAGCTCAAAAAATTTCACTAACTATAAATTTCACTACACTTTATCTTAGTTCTTAAACTGCAATCGTTCGGACTTTCCTTGATTTATTWTTTGGCCTGACGTCGTTGCATCATGGGTGATCTCTCCTCAGTWTCCTCCTTTTTCTGGTGTTGCTCCAACCATTTCTTGCACAGACYAAGTGTCTTGGTTTGTCCTGTTTTCTGCGCCTCTTCTGCGATCATTTGGATGGCTTCCACTCGTTTTTCTTTCACGGCTATCAGGTACGCAGATTTGAGCTTGCCGCAAAGCAGATATGCGTCGATCTGATGAAAAAGAAAAAAWATATATCAGAAAAAAATTTCATGCTTCAGCTTCTGTGTTTTGACTTCCGTCCATCTAACGTACAGTGGTCTTGGCTTCTTGTGCTTACTGTATTTATCGCTTGTTACCATAAGATATCAGTGGCACAGCTCAATGTGGTCCAACTGAAAGCAATGAGTAGCCGCTATACAGTCCATACATGACCCTGGAGAGGTGCTTCAGCCAGTTTGAGTTAGTTTAGACAGGTTTAAGAGGAGTTTTTTCATGTATGGTCACACATAAAATAAACAACGGTAACTTAGCAAAAAGCATATCAGATATTGGATTTTGAGCCTACCATGTTAACGTCGCTTCTCAGAAGCTTGATTAAGTTATCAACATGTTTAGCCTGAAATGAAGGTGAATTAGCAGATTAAATGAATGCCTTAAAAAATAATATTAATAACTGGGCTTCAAGTGGTTTAGCGTGTTGGGTTTTGAGGAGGGAGAAAATCCCTCAAAACACGGGAGACCCAACACACTCTACTTAAATGTGACATCAAAACGAATTTCTCCCAGACTCACSCAGCAGGGTATAGTCGAAAGAGACCTGGAAAACAGAACCAAGTTCTCACCTGATTTTGATCAGCGGATGCGATGCGCACGCAGGCCAGTATGATGTCATCGTGGCATTTGTCAGTGACCAGTCCTACTTCACCAACACATTTCAGCAGCTGTTGRATGTGGTTAAACCTGTACTGACGAGCGAGAGCCCGACCAGCGTCCACATAAACGCGGGACGCGGGTAGGTTATAGTCCTAGACGAGGAAAATAAAAATAAACAGATACGTTTATTATTACTGTATCTCTATTTTGCGGGAGGTTATGGCGGGGCAGTCACTCAGGGTCTTCGAATATCCGAGTAAAAGGTGCTTCCTTTGCTCTATAAATATCAGCAAATGGTTAGACATTCGCCGTGTCTCGGATGACCACGTAAAAGGGCGGTCCCATCTYTTTCAACAGAGGACCACAAGTTTATCAGTTGCGACTGTCACGCATTACTCTTTCTAGAGTAAGTCGAATATTAATATAGTAGTATGAACGAATGAATGCTCTAATAAGAGGTAAAGGTACTAGTTGTCGGTGACATTTAGTGCGCGCGTTTGAAACAGGGTGATCCCTGACTGGTTCAGTTAAGCAATCAGGGAAGGCCCTGCATCAAACACGTGACAAAATTTCTTGTATTTTCTCTCCTGTGCGTCGAAGATGTCATGGATTTTCCTTGATTRAACAAATGATTATATTCTTGGGATCAATGACACGTGGTCTGTAAGTAGAAAACATCGCACTCAAGGTAAAGAGGTCTATTGGACAGAATACCTGGATGATGCGACACGCAAGAGAGAAACCATCTTGTATCGTAGAACCGGATAACAGAACCTGAAAGAAAAAAAGCCGACATCACCGCTGGTTTTCACAGCCGCCATCTTGGTTGARTGTAACAAAAGATTCGTAATTAATATCAACCAACATGGCCGCCATGTGGTTCGTTTTATTCCCTTGGGAATGATTGCAAACCACTGATAGGAAGAGCCTGAGCAATCCATTTGTTCTTATGAATTTGTAACAAGGATTTTCGGCACAAAGGCATCAAAGMATGTTGAAAAACATTCATGAAAAAAGTTTTCATTATATTGACCAGAAAAGATTTTATTATGAGGTCATAAACTAGTTATGACGACAATTGTGACGTAGATTCCACATGGAAACGCTTTGCCCAGTCCACGCGCAGCATATAGTACCCAACCTTCCGCTCGTTTCGTTAATTGTGAGACGTCATCAATCCAAATACTGACGTCAAAATATGAAGACTACTGCGAAAGAGGTCGTATCTCTTGTGTGTGTAGAAAACGAAAATGGCGAAAATTGAGTATAAAAACTACAATTTCAAACCTGGAYAGCCAGTTCAGCTCTAGCATGACCATTTCCAAATAACGTCGGCAATCTGGTATCGTCATTCGACCTGAGACTMGAAGCACTCGTCCCCTCCACCAAACATTTATGAATAAAATTCGTCACTTCGAATTGCAGGTTGATGGTGTTCACGTGACTGTTGAGGYCTGACAACGTGACCGTCACGTGCTGCATCTCTTCTTGAGACTTCCTGCGCATGCTCCCATGRCTGCGAAGCCATGCGCCCGCGCTCAATGYCGAACCACGTGGGGATTTTTTCTCGATGATGACCGTCTCKAGATGACCACGTGCTTTGCTGAGGTATTCAAGGCGGGAAAACAGATTCTCGTAGGTTGACACATTGCCTCCAGCAGCACCCTCGAAGAAACGAATACACGTCTGAGCAGCACGAAAATAATCCTACGACAAAAACAAGATAATAGCTTGTAAAGCAGGTTTTTTGAGGAGGGYCGGTACTTCATTTTAGTGTTGCCTCTTCTATGGTTCTTCTCTTTATTTTTTCTGGCAGATGGGGTGCCTGTGTAGTGATTTGGCCGGGAGGGATGACGAAACTAGACGTGAAAGCTGCGCGYGGTCCCAGTCCTCTTTCCACCAATATACCACAAAGGAAACCCATGCACACCTCTAGTACACATAACTTACTTTCATGAAGAGCTGTAAATCATAGAGCAGATGGTGGTAGCCTCGCTTGTGAAGGTACCGACAAGCAGCTGTTAGATAGGTCATCCAGGACTGCAGTGTTGGGTCAGCTGTTTCCATTTGTTCTTTAAGCGCGGTCAGATTGCCTTTACTAACCAGACGCATGAGCAGACTCTCTACGAACACCTCTGGAGAGGGTTTCTGTTGAAATGTGAAAAACCGTATTTATGGTAGCTCTCCTTAAATATCTCATGCCTTATAGACTTGTTTAAAATTACAACTGTGKTCCTTGATCAAAGACTCATTTACTCAGGGTTAGCGTCATTTTAGTGTCACAAATACCAACGTTAAATATTAAAGAATATATTCATAATATGACAATATTTATAATATAATAATATCTAATAATATATTTATAATATGATAATTACCTAATATTTTTATACTATAATAATAAAATGTAATAAAATTTTTATAACATAATAGAGTGCTCGCACTACACCCGTGAAACAAATTAGTACTAATTTTTAGTACTAAATAATGATAATCAAACAATAGGAAACAAAGGATTATGTATGAATTACTACTAATTAGTACTAAATATCATTCACGGGTTTAGTGCGTGCACTCTACCAATATCTAATAACATATTTATAATATAATAACATCTGAGTATATAGAGGATATTACATGGGCGCTTGGAGATACGAAATTTATCTTCGAGTGTTGAAAAGATCTCTCACTCGTTCGCTGCGCTCACTCGTGAGAGATTTTCAACACGAGAAGATAAATTTCGTATCTCCAAGCGCCCATGTAATATTCTGTTTATTATATAATTATCAATGAAGTATGTTTTGGCTTTTTCAGGCAATTCTTTCCGATTATTTTTGAATAGCCATCGCAATGGTGTTATCTTCACACGTGAAAATAACATGTTATTTTCACGTGTGAAGATATCAATTTTTCGAAATAGAGAAAAATAGATATTTCATTGGTAATTATATAATAAATATTTATAATACCATGATAATATCTAATAATGCAATAATAGTATTACCTTTTCTAGTATGTATCTACAGGCTAATCTGATTTGCGCGTGGCGAACATAGAACGCTACAATAGAAGCATCATTGCCATAGGTGTGCAGATAATACAGACACTCGTCAAACCGCTTGCTGTCGAGAACGCTTCCATGGGATACATTCTGATTTATGAGAAAAGAAGTGTATCAGGTTGGTGGGGGKACTTAAAATGTCTTGTTTGTTGTTGTGGTTTTGTAGCAGCACAACGTGCGAGACAATGATCCATGGTGATGGTTATGGTGGTGATGATAATTACGAGATAACGATGGTGGTGATGATGCTATTGCTGACGATTCTTTATGATGACTGATGATGATGATAATGGTGGTGGTGGTGGTGATGAAGATGATGACGATGATTGTGATGATGATGGTGGTGGTGATAATGATAGTGGTGATAAATGATAGTGATGATGACGATGATCGTAATGATGATAATAACAATGATGGTGATACTGATGATGATGATGATGACAATGATTGTGATGATGACAACGATGATGGTGGTTATAGTAATGATGATGCTGTAGCTGAACGTCCTCATGACACATGATAACAAGGATGATGCTGATGATGGTGATGATAACAATGTTGATATTGATGATGGTGGCGCTGTTGCTGACAATGCATGATAATGATGGTGATGATAACAATGTTGATATTGATGATGGTGGTGCTGTTGCTCACAATGCATGATAATGATGGTGATGATAATAATGTGCACTTTCTGGGTTATCTATTCTGTTCCACTAACCTTGGCGTGTTCAGCAAGACAATGGAGTGGTGACAAAAGTTCGTTTGTCGTCTGAAAACATGTGGAAGATAACATTAAACATTGATTCTTATAGTACCGATAATACCTGGAAACATTACCTGAGGAAATGAGATGAGAGGAGAGTGTTGTAAAATATCCAATACTTTATCCAGGAACTGGGAGTTTTGTTGCTGCTTTCCTTCATTTGGCTGAAGAAGAACGAAAATTATAGCAACTCGAYATTATGAACGCGACAGACAGATGGATATACAGACAGATTGACAGCTAGACAGACAGACAAACAGCGGTAATCTCTGTTAGCTATGTACTCTAGCTATGTAGTAATATGTAGCTATGTATTCATTCTATGCAGTTAAGTTTTTTTAATTTCATTTATTCCTCATTCGCTCGTTCATTCGTTTGTCCATTTCTTCTATTCCTTCCTTCCTTCCCTCCCTCCCTCCCTCCCTCCCTCCTTCCTTCTTTCTTACTTACCTTCATACATTTGGCAAACTTGTCTCTAGCAAAGGCCAGATCACCAGCCTTTAAACAGGCAAAGCCAGCAGCAGCCCAGACACCAGAGGGGTCCAGACCACATTTGGTTGATACCTCCATGGCAAGGGTGAGACGTTCATCTTCTATGAAACGATCACGAAGACGCCTAGGTTGACAGGAAGAATAAATGAATGGATGGGTTAGTTGATGGATGGATGGACGGTTGCGCATGAAAAGACAAATGAATATGGAAAAAAATCCAAACCAAGAATCTTATTCAAGAGGATGACACGTGGTCTGCAATGGGAAAACATTACAGCCTAGGTAAAATGGTGTGTAGGTCCTTTACATCAAACAGTCAGACGCTGATATTGTTGAAATAGGATGGGATGGGATGGGATGGATGGGATGGATGAGATGGGATAGGATGGGGTGGATGTATGGGATAAGATGGGATAAATAAATAAAACGGGATAGCATGAAATGGATGGATGGATGGATGGATGGAGGGAGGGATGGATGGAGGGAGGGATGGATGGGTGACTAGATAGATGGGTGGATGGATGGGATGGATGAATGGTAAGAGTGCATGGATTGAAGGATAAATAGATGGGATGGATGGGATTGAAGGATAGATGGATGGATGGGAATTGTTGATGGATGGATTGAGTGTAAAAATTACCTGGCAGAGTCAGGACGTATCAGGTCCTGTAACGAAGGAATGTCTCCACAATTTGATTCCGCAAGGAACTTCATCAGTTCCACGTGGCCGAGATACCTGAATCAACCAAAAAAAACACACAACCAAAATATCCAATCATATATAATTTTGAAGAGATAACTAGCTAAAACCTAGAGTGTGAGCTGCGTCGGTGTTTCTAATGAAACAGTAATGAYAAAAAGGATAAATTACACACCGTGAAAAAATGAAAAAACTTACTGACGTTTTGGACGCTAGTCCWTCGTCGGAGTAAAAGAGGGTCATTCATTGTGATTACAGTACATTAAGACTTACGTGTCACACAACTCSACTCCTTGTGTCTCGCCTGCTTTGATCATTTTGAGTTTGGCGTTGAAGAGTAAATATCGAATCATGCTGTTCAAAATGAATATGAAAAAATAAAAATGTAATTTGACATCCCAAACAGTGGCTAGGGGAATCGCTGCAATGCACATTTCAAGTTACATTCCTGCGCTACCTCGAATAGTTTTACCAGAGTAACAGAACACTTTAGTTTTGGTGTATAAATGTTTTTCCATTTCGGACCACGTGTCATTCTCTTGAGAATAAGATTCTTTGTTTGAGTTTTATCCATATTCATGTGTCTTCTCATGCGCAACAGYAAACGAAGAAATGATACTTTAGAGATTGCAACGTGGTTTGAAATGGGAAAACATTACGCCGAAGGTAAAGATGTCTGTTAGCCATTCCGAGGTTGAGGAACAAGACTGGGTCGAGTTGGCATTGCAGTGCATYGTGGRACGGTTTCAGGGGACATCGACCGAGTCCCCCCCAACCCCCTAGAATTGCAGCAGGGAGCACGCGCTAATTCCAGTGGAACCCCATCAGTACTTTATTTGCAAAAAYCTGATAAAAGTAAAACTACCTGAACATTAAATTACGAGTACATATTGCGCACGCGCGCCCAGTTACCTGATAATAAGATTATGGTCCACCTCTTCGTTCCTCACYCCTGGTCTTATAGCYACGAGTTTCTTCGATAACGTGTTGCAGAGATCCAGTAGAAGGCGACCACAGACSGAGTTATCGCTGTGAAGGTCTAGGATGGCGATACACAGAGACGAGCTGGGGGCCTGCGAAACAAAAAAGTTACTTAAAAATTGTTGGACGAGTTGCCATAAAAAATGTTTGACAATTTGTGCCGTGACAATGATGGTACCATGTTGAAGATTTCTGTTTAGGAGATAAGTGGTTTCTGAATCCTGGTGCGYCCCTGGTTGATTAGACGTTTAATAGCACGGTTATTGTATGGGTAGGAAACATACAGCACGTAGATTGTATGATATGGCATAACATCGAAATGGCTTCCCATAAAAATGGTTATCGTATGCGTGGGAAACATATGGTACTGACTTAAAGCATGTACATGGTACGATATAGCATAACATCGAAGTGGCTTCCCATAAGAATGGTTATCGTATGCGTGGGAAACATACGGTACTGACTTAAAGCATGTACATGGTACGATATGGCATAACATCGAAATGGCTTCCCATAAGAATGGTTATCGTATGCGTGGGAAACGTACTGTACTGACTTCAGCACGTACAAGTTACGTTATGCCGTACCATGCCGATGGCTTCCAATGGTCTTCCGGTATTTTATCCAGTCACAACGCATAGTTACAGCCGGTCAAGATAGGATGTCAAGATACCGTGCGGCTACACTACGGCTACCAATTTGTCCTATCTGTTGTGAATAACATAACATAAAAGATAGGTCCTAGTTCATGACGTCGTGTTTTATTGAGGATCGAGTCAGAATACGCTTGCGCGCGTTATGACGTGTTAACAATGATCAATTAACATATTAGAACACAGGTAGCCCAAGCGAGCGATATTTATGACACTATCGTTTCCMGCTCATACGAAAACCCCTCTAAATGAATACCAAGATGACTGAGGTCGGAAATTAATTTTTCCAAATTTAATTCCAAAGGTCTTTCGCCCGGAATAACCTCGTTCCCAAGCACTATAACTTATCTATATTTCTATATCTAAATGAATACCGTATCGTTACCATGCCGTGCCGTGGAAAGAAAGCATTCCACAGAGTGACGGCACTAACTTTATGTGAAAGAACATAGGAAATCGAAAGTGCAAGACATTTTCATCCAAGTGTTTATACCTGTTCGTAGTAAAACTCGTCTCGTACGGACAGATTGTTCTCTGGCTCCAGAGTTAATTTCCATTTATTGACAACTATAGGGTCTGCTTGAGCCTCGGCGACGTAAGCACCGGTATAGCTACCAACCACGCTGTCCTGCGCCACGCTTCTCTCCAGGGAACCAACACCTCCTTATATGGGCATTAATCACAAATGATTTGTTAGTTAACATTAAGTGCCAAGTCTTAACTTGGATAAGARGAATAATAACACAGGGAGCCCAGAAGTAAAGTGACTGGGACGTACCTGGACGCGCAGGGCTTTTGGAGGCTGGAGAAGTGTGGGCGGTTTCTACTTGTTCTTTATGCAGCCTTAGGAAAAAATTACATTGGATAATATTGATATCACTATAATCATCATCATTATTCATCATTATCATCATATCCATGATCATCACCATTATGCATCTTAGTATCAACACCAACTTCAAGCATCATCATCATATCCATCCATCCATCATCACCATGATTCCCTAAAGCTTGGAAATCACTATCTTTATACACCATTATCGTATCCAAAAGCTGGGCAATTAAAAAAAATATGACATGGTTCAGACAGACTAGTAGTACCCTGGGTGCCAGAGGYYGTGTGGGGCTTGGGGGCGAGAGAGAGAGAGAGAGGGAGGAGGGGGCMGGCACCCAGGGTAGACTAGTAGYGTAYGGTGTAGTTAATGACTTACTTCTTATCGTAGAAGTGTTCATAGCACGTGTTACACACGCGCACCGGTGTCTTACCAAAACCYTGTACAACACAACTATGCTTGGAGCACGTGCCACACACTACACGACCACAACGACGACAATGATGACGACGATTAAACTGGAAGAAACAAMAGGAGAGGGGTGGGTGAGATTATTGATAACAAGCTATAGAATCAGTACTCTCTGGTTGTTAGCACATGACGGGCAGTGTTTGCCTGTCATTGTAGKCTGGTAATGAGATTMATGAGATTCATTCAGCTGAWTGATACCAAGCAATAGAATACTCTCTGGTTSATAGCACATGACGGGCAGTGTTTGCYTGTCATTGTAGTCTGGTAATGAGATTMATGAGATTCATTCAGCTGATTGATACCAAGCAATAGAATACTCTCTGGTTGWTAGCACATGACGGGSARTGTTTGCCTGTCATTGTAGKCTGGTAATGAGATTTATTCAGTTRTTTGATAACGTCAAGCAATACAATAGAACTTTATATTTGTATTACAAATGAATATACACACTTTAAAATAAAAACTGCTAACTCACCATACCAAAGGGCTCCTTACATATGATACAGTCAAGAACTTGAGCGTCTGGCATCCATTCTTCCTTGCGCGGAGGAATGGCCGGAGGAACATACGATGGCTGACCAGTCCTTCTGAGGGTGTCCGCGGTAATCGACGATACCGATCGTTGCAAGCTGCCACGCCCATATTCTTGGTTCGCTATCTTGTCCTTCAAGATGTCTTTATTTGGATTTGGTGTCTCACGGCCTGAGATTGGTATTGGGGTGTGACGACCTCCGAAGCTTGTTGCGGAAGGCGTTGGCGATGAGGGAGGAGTGGGKTGAAACACTTGAGACCCGGTTGGGATTTCTGAAAAAACCAAAATAGATGGTTTATGTTAATGTTAAATAGTCACCATCATCAGAGATGGGTACACTTGAAAGTCGGTAAAACAGTGGTGAAAAAAGTCATTTTAGAAGGCAGAAAATTAGAAGCTCTTTACTCTGAGGAACTGATGTTTTTCTCTCGTTCAAAATGGAAGTCGGATGATCCAGCCATTCAGCATGGCCAACGTCACGAGATGGTCCAAAACTTCTATTGTGGGGAACCGTAACAAATAGTTTTCATTTAGGCGGGAAACATGCGATACTGACTTATAGCAGGTACATGGTACGACATGTCGTAACACTAAAATGGCTTCCCATACGAATGGTTGTCGCATGAGTGGGAAACATACGGTACTGACYTACAGCACGTACACGGTACGACGTGCCGTAACATTGAAATGGCTTCACATTGTTTTCAAGCAATTCATCCAATCACAAGACGTAGTTACGGCTACGCTAAGATACAGTGTAAATACAATTTTATCGTATCATTTCCCACTCGAAAACTGCTCTTAGGTTCATTGAAACTTGTTTACCTTGTCTATTCTCTGCTTGCACGACTTGAAACTCCAGCGCCTTTGCAGCGTATCGAGCAAGGAGGCCATCAAATACCTTAACAGTACACCCATGACGCCTTGCACCTTCATCGTCGTCATTTTCCTCTCCCATTAAAGCTAGGTCAACTTGAAGGCGGTTAAACACGCGCGCTGCCCACTCAACTTTCAGGTTCATGAGAAGCTGTTCGAGCAGTAAGTTGGGCCTGGAGAAATAACGAAAACAATGAGACTCGACAAGGAATGCGAACAAAGGCAATCCCTTTTACAGTTCCCGGCGCCATCTTGAAAGGTAGCCGTGCCTTTGCATCGAAGCGAGACGAACGKTCAGCTTGAAATGATTGAGACCTTTTTTTAACACTTTGGACAATTATTCACATGTCTCTATCATTGCAAGCTCACCGTTCGTCTCGCTTCGATGCAAAGGCACCTTTCAAGATGGCGCAGGCAACTGTGAAGGGGACTATTTGCACGATGGTGTCATTTTACTACCACTTCCAAAATGCTTCGGGACTTTTTTTCTTATTCAAATTTGTATTTTCTGGTGAGAATAGAACTCTATTTTTATGCAAAAAATTGTACAGAAAGTTTCTGTTGTTTGGTAGGCCAATATGGCTGCCTTATCACGTGAGCGAAAACGCTCTAAAATTCAGCCGACTACTAACCGAGACACTAGATGTTCATATGCTGGCCTAGCCATATCTGGTATACACAGTAGTGCCTTGGCACCCATCTTTGTCAGAAGTAGTTCTTCAATCCTGATGGGGGAGAGGTGGGGACGTAGATTGGTCAACATGAACTGGATGATGAAGAGGGTCTGACTGACGTGAAGGTTTTGTTGCAGTAAAGAATCACAGACTTCTAAGGCCATGTGCTGTTCCTGGATACCTTCGAGGATGCGGTACGCCTTCATGGTGTCTTCTGGGCTGCTTTCTAGTAGGTGTTTGAGATGGCTTTCTTTGATGGCCTGAAATACAACAAACAAACAAACCCAAATTTATCGCTAATCAAMAACGAGAAAGYACATCAGTGGCGCACCTCAACGGGATCGAACTGAAAGCATGTGAAGGCGCCTCTAGCAGTCGCTATACAATCCATGTATGACTCCGGAGCACAGCTCTAGCCAGTTTGAATTAGTTAGAGGTGGTTAAACGTTGGGATAAGGTAAAAAAAGTTGTCATTTTGRATTTGTCCATGAGTAAGCGGCCTAGGAACACAGCGTTGAGTAAAAAAMTAGAACACAGGAAAAAGGAGTTGAATCTACAYATTAAGGTGAGAAGCTTATGCGCAATCTCCACCAACAGGACGCCCTAGAGTAGGGGTGTGTGGAAGTGAAAYCCTGGATTTTGTCCTTAAATATCTTCAAAACTAATAGACAAATAGCAAACAAGACTGCACTGTTTGTTCGTATGTTTGCTAAACAACRTGTTTGTGTATAGAMATCATGGTTACTACGAACAATTAACCAGTATCGAACATGTTCAGTATGTTGTGGGGCAAGACAATAAATAATTTTCTCCTTTAGGCCATGAAATGTCTTGTCCTACAACATGCCTGCTGTAAAACAAYTCTATTGATTTGACTGTGGAAGCTGTTGAGAACGATGGGCAAAAGAGGGTCCGAAGGGGGAGGTTAGGGGGTTTTTATTGTCTCTGTTTTATAATTCTAATTGTCGTTACCTTATGAAATTCGTGCGGCAGCGCATGCATCTCKGCCCAGTCCGCCGCCAGGTCGTACTGTTGTATAGACAACAAGAARTTCATCACGTGATCAGGTTCTTCAGGAGTAGCGACTGCCACGCCCTGCCACTGTGTCAAGAGCGCGAAGGAATTGGCGTTAGGTGTCTTGTACTGATGAGTCTTGGCACAACTAGCAATCTGAGTTAAGAATAAAAGACGCCATGTCATTGGTTAGTACTAATAAACTCTGTGATTGGTCAATATTTTGCCACGTGTTGGGTAACAGATTTAAAAAAGATAACAGTAAAAAAAAACCCTGCTTTTTGATTGTCTAAAGCACCTCTTCTGTTAGGTAGGGTTTTGTTTTACTGTTTACTGCCTTTTCCCCCACATACCCCCGTGCGCCTTGTTGTTTTTTTTTTACATCATGTCCGCGCCGTGCGCCTTGTTTTTTTTTTCACAGTCACATACCCCTACTCTAGGGCGTCCTGTTGGTGGAGGTTGCGCATAAGCTTCTCACCTTAATGTGTAGATTCAACTCCTTTTTCCTATGTTCTAATTCTTTTCTCAACGCGGTGTTCCTAGGTGACCGACTCATGGCCAAATTCAAAATGTCTGAAGCATCTTTAGCCTTATACTCTCTCATCTTGCTCAACACGAGCTGCGCCAAGTGATCACTATCCTTAATCTGCGCCAGCAGACTCCAAGGTTTCTTCTTCCACTTATGAGTAAACCCAATCGACGGCACGTTCAAATCACTTAACACCGCATCTATTCTCTTGACAAACATGCTACTCAGCCCTCCCCTGCTTAGAACCGCTGATGTCAATAAGAAATCTACCGGTTTCGACCCACTGCCGTCTCCATGGAAACACGAGGTGTTGATTAATTCAAGAAGAATGTCGAAGTTGCCTTGCCTAAGGTAGTAGTCACTAGACTCTTGACATGCGTACTGCTGCTCACACGCATCTTCGGCTGACAGCGCTAAAGAAGAGAGATAAATCTGCGGAGATGAATCATCGAGGTCCTCGCGGGAAACYCTCGAGTCAAGACGAACAAATTCATAGCTACCAGTCACAGAGTCGCTCTCTACTGCGGCTCCCACGAGTAGTTCAGATAAGCAGTAGAAGCGAGCGGCGAGATAACGCTGAAGAGTCGGGAACGATGCGGTTCGTTTAAGGATAGAGCTGAAAACCGATTCGTTTGAGATGTTGGGTTTGTCTTGAGCATCTGACTGCGCCTCGGGTGCTTTTTCTTTAGTGATTACTTCATGGCTTGGACTTCTGGACTTCGGCTCATTYCTCGACTCACAAACGAGTTCCACTAGCGTGAACATCAAAGGAGATGTCTTTTGAAGGTATTCTAATGTTGCTTTATTAGGACTGAATCGTCCCCTCGTATCTAAAGACTTCAAAGACGAAGTACTGTACTCCATACTAAGGTAAAGACTGTCAGGTACAGAGCTCGACCGCTGGAAATTCGAACTAGAATCAGAATGATCCAGAGATGAGATCTCGAATTTGTAACCAAAGGTCCAGCAATATGGTCGATAGGTGACCTCTTTGATCCCTGCGAGGACAGCATGGAGCTGATTGGCTGTGTTTGGGAGGAGAAATGGTTCTAATTGGAGGAGGAAGGTGATGTCTGGTTCCTGTGAGGATTGACTTTGGGTGAGGTCGAGTTCGTTGAGAGAACCTTGGTGGAAGTCATTCTTGTACCAAGAAAGGTATTCAGGTAGTAAGACCTAATGAAACATCAAAGAAAATTCCTTCATYTATTCATCCATCGATTTGTCCCATCCCATTTTATCTATCCCATCAGTTTTCCTTCACATCCCATCTCAACTATATCAGCATGTGACTGTTTGATGCAAAGGACCCATAGACCTCTTCGGCTTGGTGTAATGTTTTCTGATTTCAGACCACGTGTCATTCCCTTGAGAATAATATTCTTTATTTGAGTTGTATCTATTCACGTGCCTTCTCGTGTGTAACCGGGCGCAAGCGTTAAACAAAGAAATAATACTTTAGGGAATGAAACGTGCTCTGAAATATAAAAAAAATACACACAAGGCAAAAGGGTCCATTGAGATATTTTTACTCCACTTCCCATTTCTACTTCACTTCCCATTTTTACTCCACTTCCCATTTAAACCCACAATTATTCACTGTTCTTAACGGTGACGCGGTTACCTTTCCAGAAGCGACGTCGATTGTGATTCGAGGATTGATGTACGTCACCACGGCGTCGTTTAATTGGGCGTCCAAACCATTGACGTCATACACCTGCGAAAACGGAAATAATGTGAGTAAAAGAGAATGTCGTATGTTTTCTATCGGTATACTGATCTACCCCTACCCCTCCCCACGTCAAAAAGCGACTTCGATACCCCGATTGACTTTCTACTGGGTGAGTTTGCAACATTAGGGCACACTGTGGAACTTCGGTACAAACCTGGAGATCTGGGGAGGAAATGCAGCCATCACAGATGGCAAATATCAGTCTTTTCTCGGGATTGGTCAGTTTGTACTTCCTTTTTGGGTCATCTGCGGGACGTTCTGTGTAGAAACGAAAATATTTGGTTGTCTTTGATGACTATGATGTATGATGATGATGATGATGTATGATGATGATGATGTATGATGATGATGATGCATGATGATGATGTATGATAATGATCATGTATGATGATGGTGATGATGATGATGTATCAGATGATGATGAAGTATGATGATGATAATGCATGACATGATGATGCATGTACGATGATAATACATGATAATGTATGATGATGATGTATAATGTTGATGAGGTATGATGATGATAATGTATGATAGTAAAGATGATGGTGAATGGTTAAAATACATGAAGATGAATATTGCACAAATGATAATGGTATATTAATAAATGATAATGGCAGCGACCACTCACCGGGGTAGCACAACTGAATTGCTGGCCCGAACATTGYCGGTGGTTGCATGCCAGAGCGGAGAATCACGAAGAGTATGTCAAAAGCGCTGAAAAAGAAAAAGAGATTTAAAAAATCAGACATAGACCTCCTCGGGATTTTCTCCCATTTCAGAGCACTTGTCATTCCCTTGAGCATCATTTCTGTGTTTRACGGTCACGTATGAGAAGACACATGGATATGGATACGAMTAAACTCTCARAGARWTCAGAGAAGGATTTCGTAGTAGACACCAACCTTGTGGGTCCAATCTGGCCAATATCATAACAGTTATGCTTGAGGAAAGAAATCCTATCCAGTGCTGAAACACGTCTTGGTTTGTCCAGGTCCTCGRCATCACAGCYCAGACTAGTGATTGACAGCCGACTAAGTGACCCATGTCGGGTCAAGGTGAAYTTTGGGTCCCAGTCTTCTCCATCGTCACTCTTGGAAAAGTGGACGAGAGAGGCGTGGGCGAATAAGAGGTTGAGGACGTTAATGAAGAAACATATTTTAGATTCATTTGTTTGAAGAAGRTCCAAGTCAATTTTTTTAAGTTCGCTTGTTCCTTGAATGACTGCATGAAATTCTGGGGATTTTGTTATTACAGCCGCTGACCGGGCGTCGACCAGTCCTTCATTGTTTTTTGCTACATCTGAAACGAAGAAGTTTTTAAAGTAAAGTTTAAAATCTTCGTATGAGAGGGAGCTTTGTATGACTGGAAAAAAATTGAGGTAAAAAAGTGTATCAGTCTTCAAAGTGCTTTCTGATTGGATGATAAGTCAGCTTGTGCTTCGTGATTGGCTCAACGGATGTCACTAGTGCGCTTACTCCCACTCTCTTACGAAACGSATTTTAGCGTTGTCGTGGTAACCAGCACGGCTTACCTGTGAGTAGGTCGATCATTTTGGTCAGCAGCTCCTTGGCCACGAGGTTCGGCTCCCTTGCTTTCTCCAACCACTGACTCCCATGATTAAGTACTGTGGGCTCAGAAGAGGGCCAACGAAATACTGTCAATGAATAGAAAAGACATCAGTTATTGCTTCGTATTTGTTGAAATGACAACCCCCAAGACGATAAGTGACTCTTTTTCCTTCCTCTGCAAAACCAACAAACTCGCCGATCTGTGAGTTAACTCAGCACTGACTTAGATCAGCCCAGAGGTTGTTTCAGGGTTCCATCTATGAGTTAGCCATGCCCTGACTTTGATCATCCCAGAGGTTGTTTCAGGGTTTAATCTGTGAGTTGGCCATGCCCCGACTTAGATCAGCCCAGAGGTTGTTTCAGGGTTCTATCTGTGAGTCAGCCGTGCCCTAACTTTGATCAGCCCAGAAGTTGTTTCAGGGTTTAATCTGTGAGTTAGCTGTGCCCTGAYTTAGATCAGCCCAGAGGTTGTTTCAGGGTTCTATCGTCTATTCTATCCAATTCTCAGGAGATTGGAATTCCGTTTTATTTTGTCCATTAAATTGAGCTGCTTTGACGTCGCATGCAAGGGGTCTATTTGAGCCTACCTTTGCTGTTGCCCGACCCACTTGCTGGTATGTGCGGACAACAGTTGTGTACTATGACTTTCACAAGGTTAATATTTAACTGTTTACAGATTCCTTCCAGCCTAAAGAAAATGTAACCAAGGTCACGTTAAGACAATGGCAGTGCTAGAGTTTCCAGTTTTCCTCCCTCCATAAAAACCAACATCTGAGTTGAGTGTGGTGTGGTGTGGTGTAA